CAAGTACACAGATACTTACAGAGTAACGGACCTCCTTCCTTTTTTGTCAAAACAGATAAAGATAATTTATACAAATGTCTGAACAACCGTGCACATCATTATCACACACATACTTCAAAACTTAGATACAATGATTATGAGCGAAGAACCAAACAAGTAGCGCCTAACTAAAAGGCTCAAAGAAAGCCCGTGATGAGAATAGTTTACAGCATAATAAGACAGGAATTCTGGGACACAATTAAACCGCGTAAATCATCTCAGCAATGTCTCTTGCGATATTCTTCCCCCGTTCATCAACAACAGCATCCTTTATCTTGTTGACAATAGCCAGCATATTGCGAGATTTTGCAAGCTGAATAAGAAGGTATGGATAACTAATTTCAGTATGAAGTCAAATGAACGTACAGTAATGACAGTTGTGTCGCCCCACATTAGGGTTACGATGGCTTGAAGCAACCGTATCATAGCACCTTCACTAACAGATCCGAATGATTGTAGTCGTTCATCACACAACTCAAAAAAGACTGATTTCAATGAAGAAGATTTACATCTTCAAGTGAAGAAAATCTGTTGAATAAATTAAAGACCTACCTTTACAATAGCGCGGATAGCATCCTCTCGTGGGCCCAACTCAGCAACCTTTTCCGATTTTTTCAGAAGGAACAAGCTCCAGTTAGCAAGTGCCGACGCTGCTGCCAACTATAAACAGATACACATTGTCACATCAAAAGTAAAGCAGCAGATTTCATTTACCTGAAGCGCCGGTTTACTGCTAGTCAGCTGATTTGCCACTACTGTGAATAACGTTTGAAAATCTTGTGAAAGCATATTGCGTCCGCATTCATGAACAAATGCATTTGTCATGGATCGACAAACAAGTATAGATACAGCATCTGGAGGTTCACTCAACAGTAATGCAGATAATCGTTGTTGGGTGTTGTTTCCTCGCCCCTGGAGACAAATCAGTCAGAAAAAGAGGAAAAATCAACTACCCTAAAATCTCACAGATAAGCCCTCCCTTCAAATAAGTCCGCCTACAGATAAGTCCGCTTTTTTGACTCATATAAAAACCTTCGGATAAGTCCGCCCAAAGGTAAGTCCGGACGTATCTGACAGTATTCGGACTTTCTGCCCGTTATAATTACCCTGAGATCTTGTCAGATAAGTCCGAAAACTGTCAGATAAGTCCGGACTTATTGTAGGTGGACTTATCTGATGGGAGGACTTATCTGCATTCTTGGCGGCGCAAGCGTGCATTTTTATCGATTTTCCTTGTCAAAAGCGGACTTATTTGTAAGATTTTAGAATATAGAATTTTTTACACAATATGTATCAATCGCGTACTCCTTTCAAATCAGCGTAATCATCGCTCCAAAACTCCGCACCATGTTCGCGCGTATATGGCTTGAGCAATCAAATTAGTCTCATCGACTGGAATCCGCACGCAGAGCCCACGCGCTGCAGGTGCATTCCCACGCGAAAGGAAGGACGTAATTGACACAGACTGTATGCTATATTCGCACTTGCGACTAACATATTTATTGATTAAAAGAAGAAAGTTTCTAAAGGCAAGCGAATAACCAAACAGAAGCATAGAAAATAAAAATTACCTTCATGTCGCAGAAGTAAGAGTTGAGTTTTTCATCTAAGAGAGCTACTCGAAATACGTCAAGAATCGGAACTAGGTCTCCCATGCTCCACTGTAATCCTGTTTCAAGCGCGGTAGTCAAAAGATCGTGACTGATGCTTCCGCTAGGACCCGACATTAAGCTATGGATAGCTTCCAACTAAAAAAATAAAATATTACTAGATGACAAAAACTGACTCTAACTTTCTTACCTGTTGCTCACTCAATTTCAAAGCTGTTTGTGTGTTG